CTGAAGTCAAGACAGAGTCGAAAGGGAGGGGCTCAGCCCTGCTCCAGGCTCTGGAGCTCAGGGCATGGGCTGCACATATTGGTTATTCCATTACCTTTTATTTATTGGCCTTATTGGCTTTTGTCATTTCCTCATTGTCTCCTGTCCGGAGAGAAGCCTATAAATGTGATGGATTGACACAGGATGCAGGAGGCCCAATTATCGCTCCGAAGCCGGCCTCTCTTCTTGGTGGAGCCTCCCCAGCCTCCATTGCCCTTGAGCTCCTCCCCCAGCCTTGCCCATAGAAGCAGCCCGGTCCCTGGCCTTCCAGGAAGAGGGGGTGCAGCCTGAGAGGGTGAGTGGCAGACAGATGGTCCCCCAGGAGGCATGGCTCCAAGGACAACTACTAGAGGCAAGCTCAGCGCCCTGTCTGGTCACACTTAAAATACCAGCGCCTGCTCCCCGAGGCTCTGGCCACAGAGGCTGGGCAGGGAGCAGGGTGGGAGACAGGACATGCTGCCTGCCGGTCAGCCCACATCCGGGGCGGGGGGGCTCTGCTTCGACCTGTACTACGCATTTCTGGAATCCTAGCCTGCCTGTCTCTTCCCAAAGGCTGGTATGACGGGGCTTTTCTCTCCCACAGCAGGTGCCTGGCAACTGCCCAGGGATGCCAGCCCTGTGAGCTGGCACGGGAGGAAGTGCTTGTCAGGGTGGTCATTACGCGTGCTGAGCTCAGGCTGGCCTGGCCCTACCTCTAACTTGGGACACTGCAGGAGAGTGGTGCCCCCAGCAGGGTCCCAGGGTCCCTCTCATAGGGATGCCCCTTCCCCCCAGAGCTTGGAAGCTGCCAGCATTTGAGAATTGTGTCTGAATGAAGTTCCCTCTGGCCTGTCTGCCTGCCTCTGTCCCTGGGAATGTCCTGAGCCCCCTGGTCCTTAGGGGGTTGGAACAGGAAGCTTGAGGTTCATTCCTGGGGTTTCAGGCATCTCCTGGTGGTAAAGCTCCTCCCCCTCCCTAACAGCCACTCTCATTCCTGAGCCTTGAATGTGTACGTGTGTGAATCCGCATGTGTCTTCATGTAGGTGAGGATCTCAAATGACCATGCGTCTGACCTCCTTCCAGAAGAAAGAAGTGTGGAAGGTGGGGCTGCTGGTGAGGAAAGCGGCGGGGATCTCAGACGACAGGAAGGGTCCAGGCAGAGGAGAGGACCCAGGAGAATTCCGCGGACCGCGAACTTGACTGGCTTGTCTCTTCTGCAAACATTCCTGGCTCCCGCTCTGTGCCCAGCGCTGGGGTGGCCTGCGGAGCGTGGTTCAATCCTCGGCTGGCCCGGCCTGGCCCAGCTCTCAGGCTGGAGGGCCTGCCAGGCAGCGCAGTGGGCTCAGCGCCCTCACAGATGGCTCTGAGAAGTGGCTGGGGCATCAGACGCCAGTCCTGGGCTCCTCGAGCCATCGGTGGTGGCCTGTGGCGGCTCTTTGCTCTCCCTTGCTGCTTGTCCCATGTCCTCCTGTAGGAGCGCCTGTGCTCTGTCCCCTGCCCCTCCCGGTCTCGTGGCTGTCAGGGCTGGCGGGTGGAGGAGCTGCTGGCACCGGGCAAGGGAGCTGCCAGTGCCGTGGCCCCAGGGTGACAGCTGACGTCTGTCCAGGAGCATCTATCTCCCTGCCAAGGACTGAGCTCCCTGGGCCGCATGCCTTCCCGCTGACACAGGAGCCGACGTCCATCCCTCACAGAGCTGCCTGCCGCCTGGACCTCGGCCTCACCCCAAGCGGCCGGTGACAGCTGTGGCATTGCTCTGAGCACAAGGCCCCACTCCTGCCTCCCTCCTGATGAGCCCGCCACATCCCAGGCCGGGGGAAGACCCATCTCAGGCAGCCAGGGAAGACCCCACAGAATGCCCCAGAACCCCAGGCTTCAACCCTGGGCTCTGATGACGATGGGGAAGCCGACATGCTGTGTCCTGAAGCTTGTGAGAGAAGAGGCCTGACCCTTTCACAGCCCGGTGGGGGGGCGCAGCCTCCTTCCCGCCCCCTCACACACTCCCCACAGAGTTAGAGTGGCCGCCCTGTGTCCCGGCTGCAATGTGAGCAAAACAGACACAGCCCCTGTCCGCATGCTGCTTTCATTCTTTTCACTGGCATTTCTAGAAAGTAGATTTCCTATCACTGTCCGGGTGCACACAGCACTCACCCAAGGTTTACATGTAGCCGAAACGACAATTTCACAAAACAGCACTCCTCCTGAGCACATAGGATACACAGCTATGTAAAATTCTGGTATTCTTTATTTTTTTCTCATTGATATTTTTAGAGAGAGAAGAAGGGAGAGGGGGAGAGAGAAACATTGATGTGGGATCAAGCCTGCAACCTGGGCAAGTGCCCTGAACAGGAATCGAACCGGCAACATTTCAGTGCATGGGATGAAGCCCAACCAACTGAGCCACATTGGCCAGGGCCTGATATTCTTTTTAAAAAAGCTAGCCTCGGCCCACTACACTGGATGTGGCCTGCCCTTTGAAAAAGCCCTGGTCTGGTTGGGAAAAGACAAATAAGTGTCACACAGGTTAAAATGGACTGCTCTTGCCCCGGTTTTGACCGAAGGACTAAAACCCCAGGGTTTCAGGACACCAAATGTCCGAGTCTGTCCTATGCAGCTTGTTTATAAGGGAAATGGCGCCAGACACTGGGACCCGCAGTCACATCAGGTCACATGCAAAAAGGGGTCCAAGAGAGCAGAGGCCTAGGCATCTGTTGGCTGGTTTCTTTGGAGAAAATGTCCAGAGATTCCAGGGCCCTGTGTCCTTTCCTTGGGGGAGAGCCTGCGGGGGGTGGTGGCGTTACCTTCTAACCCAGGCCCCCGAGGGGCCTTCCAGGGCCTTCTAGGAGCACTTTGACACATTGGAGATCTGGAGGACCGGGCCTCGCTTGGCCTAACAAAAGCTCAAGTCGACAGGTGACAGGGTCCTGGATCTGGCCCTGGGACCTGGGAAGAGGGTCTCGGGCCAGCTGCTCTGATGGTGGCCATGGAGCCCGCTGTGGCCAAGAGAGTGCTCTGGGGGCTTCCTGTAGGCTGGAAGTGGCAGGACAAGAGAGGGCCGGGGTAACAGGGCCACTTGGAAGGTTGAGGGCCTTGGCAGGAAGAAGTTGGGGTGGGCCCACAGGGGCCCAGGGGCAAAGGATGGGGTCACAGGGCACCCGGAAAAGGGTGCATCTCCTGGGCTGAGAGATCTGCAGGAGGGATGCCCAGAAGGGAGTCTCCCAAAAGCCACAGGTGCCTGCCTGTAGGAGAGTCCCATCTGGCTCCTGCCTGGCCTGGGAGGAGCTACCAGCCACCCCAGCCCTGACCGTTCAGGGACTGGACACCCTAAGGATGAGGGTGGCTGAGAATATTTACAAGGAAAAGTCACTGTAGGCTGCTGTTCTTTGACCCAAGATTGAGCCAAAAAGCCACAGGATCAGCCCGGTTCTCATCCAGGGCCAGGGAAGATTATCTGCACTGAATAAATTCAGGAGGGACAGGGAGAGACAAAAATAAGGTTGGGTTTGATGACACCGGGGGTCATGTTTGTTTGCATATGGGCTTTGCAGGTGTTCGCAGTGCGAAGTGATAAACGCTGTGACAAGGGCAGTACCAAGAGCGGGGGTGAGTGACAGGGAAGGGACTGGGTGGTGGTCAGGGAGGGCTCCTGGAGGAGGCGGCATTAAAATGAGGCCTGAAGGCTGAGTGGAAAGGAACGGTGTTCTGGGAGGCGGATGTGGCCTTTGGAAAGGCCGAGAGGAGGAAGAGCCCGGGCCTTTGAGGGGTTAGAAAGAGATGTGGTTACAAGGTTGGCAGGCCTGAGGCCCTGGGAGGGGTGTGCCTTGATCCCAAGGCAACAGGAAGCCACTGGAGAGTTTTATCCAGGAGGCAATGACCTTGGATTAAAATATTCTGGTAGCCGAGTCGTATGAATGGCTGAGGTTAGAGGGAGAAAAGCCTTGAGGCAAGACGCTGGCCTCAGCCAGGGAAGCAGCAGCGAGATAGACCAGTGGTGGGATTTTAAAGATGCTGAGAAGGTAGTGCCGGCAGGATGCGGACTGGACGAGGGCGTGAGGGAAAGCCTGCAATTGAAGGTGGGATCTGAGGGGTTATCTTCACCAACGGGCTTGGGGGCAAGACAGATGAGCTCAGTGCCGGGCAGGTTGGGCTTGAAGCTTTGGAGATGTCCCGCGTAGGCAGCCTGGTGTGCTGGCCTGGGGCTCTGTGGGGAGGCCTGGGCTCAAGATAAAGATTCAGGACTATTCTTTAAAGCATGGCAGTGTGTGTGTGTGTGTGTGTGTGTGTGTGTGTGTGTGTGTTTCCCACTCTTCCTGCAAGAGGGCCCAGGGCCTAAAGGGCTTGATCATTCAATCAGACATTGGAAAATGTGGCCCCATAAGAGGGAACCGGAGAGACTGGAGGGAACCCTGGCGGGGGTGGCACCATGAAGCCTGAGGAAGAGAGGATTTCCAGACGGGGCTGCTGTCCCTTGAGTTCAAGGCTGTGGTGGATGGGACCCACCAGAAGGTGAAGGCTCTGCTGCATCCAACCACAAGGAGGCCCCTGCTGGCTGGTGGAGAGTTTCTGGTGCGGTGCTGGGGCAGCAATGGGCTAAGGGCTGAGGAGGGAAGGGGAGGGGAGGGCGAGGAAGCCAGTGTCAGGTGTCACAGGTCCAAGCCTGGCTGGACACACAGGTGCCACCATCTGGCTGTTCTCCATGACAGCTGCCCCTTCCTCCACCCACCTTTTCAGACCCTTCCCATGGTGTGAGCCCCAAATCTTGGTACTCCCCCTCGGCCGTGCCCCAGACCCAAGTCCTAGAGGGCATGGCCGGACGTCCTCTCGTGGGGCAGGCTGCTCTGCCAAGCCGCACTCTCCCTGGCCGTTTTCCTGGGAAGACACCGGGAGTCCCGCGTGGCTCTTAGGGTATCAGCCCGCTCGCCCACAGCACCTCACCTCGCAGGCTCGGGGCCTTGTCACATCTCGGCACAAGAACAGAGCCCAGGCCAGGTCATGGAAGCTGTTTATTGGTTTGTTTTAAAAATATGTATCTTATTTACACACGAAGTTGGGTGAGAAGTGCTCGGTTAGTTCAGACAACAGCTGGCACTGGACGCTTGTCCCTCCCTCCTTTCCCCTACCCTCTTGTCCGGTCCTGCTGGTCACTGTGCAGTTCTAGGAAAAAAGAAAAAAAAAAAAGAGCCACACTGGAAGCTAAGGAGTCAGGCCTAGGCGTCCCTGCCCTCAGCCACACCACCCGCAGCTCCTGGCGCTGTCAGTGGCCAGCCCCGGGCACCTGTCTCCAGGCTCCGAGGCTGTCTGCACGACGCCAGTCTCCTTCCGGCCGGCTGGGCTGGCAGCCCGGCCACCTCCTGAGCCACATTCCTGCCCGTGCAGGGTGCTGAGTGCAGGGAAGGGGACACACCTCTCCAAGCCTGGAGAGCAAAGCGCAGAGATCTACAAAAATAAGATTTCCACTCGGAGAAGTGTCCCGGGGACAGTTAGAACCATGTCCCATGCTGGACTCAAAGGGAACATGGGGGAGCAGAGCAATCACTAGAGGTGGGTGGGGGCTGGGGTGGCCACCACGGGGACTGGAGGTGGCGGGAAGAATTGTAATACTTGACTCACTGGCAACGCCACGGGCACTGCCATGTGCTCAGAACGTCCAGCCCTCTGACAGCTCGGAGAGGTAGGTTAGGAGCAGCCAGGTTCCGGCTTCCTGGGTGGCCCGAGAGGTGGCCTGTGAGGTTGGGTGCCCGGTGGAGGGCGGCCTTGCTGGAGAGCTGGAACTGGGCGGCCGAGCTCCTGCTTGCTCAGGCTCCACCAGCCAACACTGTCACTTTCAGGGTGACAGTTCTCTACATGAAAAGATTTGCATATGCTAAATAGGATTGTCAGCAGCTGAAGAGGCCCTGGGGTTAATTGGACTAGAAAAGGTATTTTTCCCTGAAAAAGCCTTCTGACAAGACCTGTGGGACAACCTGAACCTTACCTCAGCAGCTCCTGGGTGCAGGTGCCACCAGGACCCCAAGCTAAGCCAGAGGGGCTGGTCCAAGGCCACACTACTCCCTTCCCAAGGGGTCCCATGGTTCATTCCCCTCCTAGGGCATGGGAACCAGGCCTGACCATCCCGAGGCCCCTTCCCTGCTTAGGACCCAAAATGCCCTCCCCATTCCCATGGGTATATGTCTGGAGGCGGAGCTGGGGACCACACAGGAATCCCCTCGCCCCCATGGTTAGAGGCAGAAAGGTCCAGAGAGAGAACCCTGTCAGTGATAACAGGTTCCCTTCTTCATATGGGCTGAAGGGCTGTTGAGCTTCTTGGCCCCAACCACATGGGGCCCAGCCTTCTCTTCCCAGCCTGTGGGGCAGGGTCTGCCAGGCTCAGGAGCAAGGACAAGCTGGGAGCCAAGCCTTGAGTAGGGGCTGGCTCCCTCAGGCTCTTCAGTTTTACGTTAATACTCTCACAGAAGGCCAAGCTCTCCTGGGAAGAAAGGGCAGCTTCAGTGCCTGAGACGAGCCTGGCACCCAGGCAACTCTCTTCAGGAAGCCTTTTATTTTTGTAGCGCTGACCCTAGTAGGGCCTGCCTAGAAACACAGGGAGAACAGGACCTTGGGCACAATGGAAGGCTGGAGTGAGCCCCTGCTGACAAGACCCCACCTGTGGGGCTGGGAGGAAAGGTCTGTCTCCCTTAGGCTGGGGCAGGGGCTGGTGTCTGACCTGCGTGTGTGTGAGTGTGTGCACACGTGTGTGAGAGGAGAGGCGTTCAGCCCTCCCGCACGGCTGCCCACGTGGCAGGGGGGCCCCTTTCTGCAGCGAAGGCCTGTGGGAGCCACACTGATTCCACTTTTGCTTTGAGAACTGAGTTCCAGCAGCTGCACAGACTCCTGTTCAGAGTTCAGAAGAGGCCGTGTGAGATGCTGCCGATGTCCATGGGAAAAACATTAGTTCTTTGCGCAAGTAAAAAAATATCAAATATAATAAATTTACGAAAGCCCATTCACAACATGTACAGTCTCGATTCTTCTCTTTTGCTGCAGCAGCTGGGGTGGAGTTGCTTTTCAGAGCCCCAGGGTGTTGCCTGACCAGACCAGGCCACTGGTATGCATGGGGCCTCCAGGGACAGGCTGTCTCGAGTGGCCAGTTTGGCCAACTGCGCCCGCCCATCCACACGGGTGCCACAGAGCTCTGCCTTACTGATCCACGGGGCTGAGGCTCATCTCACTCCTGAGCCCAAAGCAAGGAAGACCCAGCGGACGCTGGCTTGTGGCTGCGCTTGGGTTTGCCTCGAGGCAACAGGCCGCCTTTCGTGGTGTCCCGGCCAGTGGGGGCGAGGCTCACACAATAGACTCTCGGTCCCTGTCGGGGGACGTGAGGAAGTCCGGGAGATCTTCGCTGCGGCTGTAGTCAGACACCCGCACCTGGAGGTTATCGCTGGTGGCCCTGGTGACGCTGTCGTAGGAAGGCGGGAAGGACGTGGAGGAGATGGAGGAGCTGGAGGGCGGGCCGGGGCGCGGGGAGAAGCTCTCGTTCATCTTGCAGGCGATGAGGCCCTCTTGCTCGGGGGCGGCCTCCCCGGACAGGCCGCTGCTGCCCCGCTGGCGGAAGAGGAAGGACGCGTGCCTCACGGAGCGCTGCAGCAGGTGCCTGCGGAAGGCGCGCTGGATCACGGTGGCCGACACCTCCTCGTGCTTGCGCCGCAGCGTGGTGGTGATGGGCTCGTAGGAGATCTTGGACGGGTTGGCCGCCATGAACTTCTCTTCCATCTGGATCTTCAGGGCGTCCATCTCCCCGGATTCACCCAGGACCCTCTTGGTGAAGGCGAAGAGAATGTCCATGCAGTGGATACGGTCCCCGCTCACCATGGGCAGGTCCATGTTGATGAGGCTTATCTGGTTGGGCTTGGCAATCCGCAGCGGCTCAGACAGGGCGTCGGCGAAGTCAGACAGCGCCAAATACTCAATGAACTGGGTGGCCTCCGGGTCGAACTTCTCCCAGATCTCATAGAACATGTCAAAGTCGTCCTCGCTCAGGGGCTCGGTGCTCTCCTCTGTGGCCACGCTGAAGTTCTCCAGGATGATGGCGATGTACATGTTGACCACGATGAGGAAGGAGATGATGATGTAGGTGGTGAAGAAGAGGATGCCCACGGCTGGGCTCCCGCAGTTCCCCCGGGAGCCATTGCTGTTGGGCAGGTTGGGGTCGCAGTAGGGGGGCCCCGTGTTGAGGATGGGGCTGAGGAGACCATCCCAGCCAGCCGACGTGGTGATCTGGAAGAGGCACAGCATGCTGTTGGCGAAGGTCTGGAAGTTGAACATGTCGTCGATGCCAGCCTCCCACTTGACGTAGGCGAAGTTGGCCATGCCAAAGATGGAGTAGATGAACATGACAAGGAAGAGCAGCAGCCCGATGTTGAAGAGGGCGGGCAGGGACATCATGAGGGCGAAGAGCAGCGTGCGGATCCCCTTGGCCCCGCGAATCAGCCTGAGGATGCGGCCGATGCGGGCCAGGCGGATGACTCGGA